AAATGGGGGCCGCTTTAAGGCCGAAAATGCATTGAAATCGCACATTTTCACCATTCCGGACCCGTATCTCAGTTATGCATCGATGGATTTTGTTCAAATTTGGTACATACATTAAACATAATAGGACCTTGATGCACGTCTTTTTTTTTTTCGGATCAAGTTCGAAATGGCCGACTGGCGGCCATTTTGTTAAAGAATTCAGTTCTGGATTCGTATCCAAGACATGTCTGGATTGATCAAGTTCAAACTTCACACACACATGGTACATCATGTCACAAATAGATATGTGCATTTGTTTCATGATCTGCTTAACAATAGCGGAATGATGGCCATTTTAAGGCCGAAAATGCATCAAAATCACGTATTTTCACAATTCCAGAACCGGATCTCAGTCATGCATGGATGGATTTTGTTCAGATTTAGCACAATGTGTTGTACATATGCAGGTGCATTTCGGTCATGATCTGCTTTGAATGTATATGTCACTCAAATATGAACGGAACGGGGACGTGTCATTGACAATGACTTGTTTTTGGTAAAAAGTGATATTTTCGACTTCTTGTTGAAAACCGCAAGTCCAATTGCTTTGATATTACATATATAGGTACTACATGTGGACCTCTCTCAGATTTGTTCATTTTGTAATGATATCTTTAATTCTCTAATTTCGGTGAATATTTTTGTAATTTTTGGTAAAAAGTGATATTTTCGACTTCTTGTTGAAAACCGCAAGTCCAATTGCTTTGATATTACATATACATGTATAGGTACTACATGTGGACCTCTCTCAGATTTGTTCATTTCATAATGTTATCTTTAATTCTCTAATTTTGATGAATATTTTTGTAATTTTTGGTAAAAAGTGATATTTTCGACTTCTTGTTGAAAACCGCAAGTCCAATTGCTTCGATATATTATACATATAGGTACTACATGTGGACCTCTCTCAGATTTGTTCATTTTCTAATGATATCTTCTGTTCTTTAATTGCCATGTGCATTGCTAACAGCGGAGCTATCTCAGCGGACAGGCTGCTTGTTTAAAATCTTTATCAAACCCGGTATGAATAATGTAATAAAATTGGTTTTGAACCGAAATCAGTAGTTAAAGCATTTGCAAGTCGAAACCAGACTGATTTAATATTTATCTGAAAAACCTAACATACTACATTGATCCATATCCTAGTATCAATTGTTGATTAAATTCAGGTCACATTGAAAACATTGGTTTCACATATATTCATTGACTTGGTGACCCCCCCCCCTCCCCAAGACGCTCTATAAATGCTGGGTAATGTCTGACTTTTCATCAACACTTTCTGACCCAGACATCTTGTAAATACGGTAATCTCTATCAGAAACTGCATCCCTAATAGAATTCACATCCATTGTTTTTGAACAATTGAAAACACAAATTCATATCTCAGATTTGCAGATACTCTATAAATAGAAAATGTTTCCCTTCTGTTGTATCATTTTAATAGAAGCTGTGGCTTCTAATACAGAATGCATGAATTTCCTGGAATTCTGGGTAGTTATTTCTAGTGAGTAGTTATTTATCAGTCCAAAGGAAAAAAGATAATCAAACTAGTTTTTGTATTATGAACCTTATTGTATGCATTTTGATTAATTATTCATTCAAAATGGCAGACACTATGAAGAATCAGACATTGTTTCCATGGAAACAAGTTTGAGTACCCTTCTTTTCATTTGCTTTATCTGTTTGATAGAACTATGAATATCAATTTTTTGTAGAAATTTGTGAATTTTCAACACTTTTTTTATTTAGCTGTATACAATACAATAAAAAACGCTTCAAACATACTACCAACTCAAAAAAATTGAATATTAGAATATTATTTATTACAAGCATTGAAAATCATATGATAGATGACTTATTTGATATAAAACAAGTAATTAAATAGTAAAACAATGACGGAAGATATTACATTATATAGGCTGTAAAAATATATACAGATTGGAAAACTGGCATTGTACACAACAATATACATACACTTATTTACAAAAAGTGAAAAAAAACACAAAAACATTTTTGGATTTATCCTGAAATTATAGTCTATTTTAAATCGTTGATAAGAATTTTCAGTACAGAATTGATCAAATGAAGTAAATCAACAACCCTATTCAATCACTATTGCAGTAGTACTCAGAGAGAGGGGGGGGGGGAGGAGTTGTTTTGATAGTATAATGGAAAGTTGGGCTTGCTAAACTAGATTTAGGATTGGCCAAAATATCCAGTAAAAGCTTTCCCACCAATCTAGGGAGTCAACCAGAATACCAGTATGAAAGAGCAAGTGACTTCATTCAGGAAACATTTTTATGTTGTAGTGCGAGTTGTATTACTGAGTCCCTCACAGCAACCAAGTGCAGTTCACTGTAAAAAGTTTTTGATTTAATTATTTTTTTGTGTGCACTGGATAGTTGATAGTAGTTTTACTATAGATGGGATCAGTATGTATTTCTACATGGTAATGTCGCTACCATTACAGACGTTTTCCCAGAAATTAAAATAGAGACCTCACCCAACATCTTTACATGGGTTCAGAATGCGTCATAATGAGTAACTTAAAGGTACCGGTACCTGCCTTTTACAAGGATGTATTGGTACCAATCACTGTTGCCTATTCACAAATTTAATGTCAAGTCATCAGTTGTTTTTTTTTGCTACGTCATAACAAAACAGAGGTAAATACAATGTATATGCATGGTTATATTTAACACAACAAGGAAGTTAATACTCTTATGGGAAACCTAGATTTAAAACTGGTGTATTCATTATATCAAAACAAGATTTGTCACAGTTTCATTTCCTCTCTAGAATTGGGAATTGCTTGCGTGTAAGCACATCCTTAATTTTAAAATCATGGCAATTACCGAATTGTCACTACTATAAATACTATCAATTAGATGAGGTCAAGACATTTGCGGTGATGACATTTTGCAAAAATCATTGAGATCCTGCCTCAACCAGTCAGGGATACAAAATTACACAATATTCACACAGAAAACTGATCTTCCATGAAGCTAACTATCAATGAAAGCAAGTAATTTGAAGGCATGTGGTTCTCTGAAAACTTGAGAGAGGAATCAAATGTATCCACCTTTGAGCAAGGACACATTGTTTACTACACTTAACATCTGTAGGACTATCTCTTCAGAAAACAATGAAAGTTATTGATATGCTAATAATATCTACTGTTATGAAAATGTGGCATACTCGCATGGAAATCATTTTTGAAGTGTTTAGACATTTAGCTAAAAAAAGAAAGTTGTATATATTATGTACATTCTTCAATTCATATCAAAACAGCTTACTATAAATATTGAATGGTTTGCAGACACGATTTGCTCAATTAGAAGTGTACTTCTATTAAAAGAGCATATACATTTATTATTGACTGAACCACTAAATTATGACTACAGCTAGGCCTCTGTGATTCAGGTAAGCATAAGCCCTACTAATAGAGCAAACGCAGTACATAGCAAATGGCAATCAGTATATTCATGCTATGCACGATCAGATGTTACCATGGAAAAGATTCAAATTGGTGGCCATCGCAGCAGACAAAATAAAACACTACAGTGCGACTTTTAGAAAACAAGCTGACTACCCAAGTTGTATTTGCCAGACAAAGTTTTCGGAGGTCAATGCAAGTACAAGCAATTGAACATGTTTAAAAGTTTTCTTTTTAAATTTTCTGAAAATTACCAGACAATCATGATTATGATTCAATAAATATCGACTGCAATTATCTACGCTCGTAATACCCATAGCTATTGTACTGATCCTCATAGCTCTGCATTGGTCGCCCGTACTCATCCACTGCGTCATAGACTTCCACGGGTCGACCGTACTCGTCAACGTCGTCCACCATAAATGATACCTGCGACTGTCTGTGCTGCTCATAAGGATCCTGTCCATAGCTACAGATACAGAGGATAAAGACGGGGTAGGAGTTAGGACGGGAAACGGTGAAAAGACACTTCACTAATAGAAAACGCACATGGCATGCAGACTTCACTCAAAGAACACACACATGGCATGCAAACTTCACTCAAAGAAAACACGGCATGCAGATACTTAGCAAAGTGACCATCAGGGAGGTTTTATACATTAAGATTTGCATCAAAATTTTAGTGATTGTGTTTAATTAGCATATTCTCGTAATATCTAGTAATAGACGAAAGACACAATAGGCTGCGAAGAGTGAGAGAGAGAGACACCAGAATTGTTTTACCCTTTGACTTGTGTTTCTTTCGCTCTCATAGCTACCACGGTTACATTCGCTGATGTGCACCATTTCACAGTAAATCACAGACGTAAGTTAAGTTTTAAATATTTAGAGGCAAGTCAGTCAGTTTCCATACAAGAACAGTGGATTGATTTGTAGCATGCACAATTTGTTTGATAGTAAACATGAGCTTTTGAACGTTTATTATATTAATCACCCCCCTCCCCCCTCCCAATGCAGACGAAACTAGAATGTTTTTACACCACAGTGTGCAAAGTTTGTTTAGGTAACGACAGAATTCAAAACTTGTCTGTCCATATATATCACATTATTGCCCCCAACTTAAAACAAACCTAAAAAGTGTCATTTCAGATTAAAATTTCTAAGGTGTCATATGACATTACGTAAATTACTGGTACGCTCTACTTTCCTCTGAAAATCTGTTAAACAATATATTTCTGGTGATTACATTATAGTTACTTGTATTTTTATACCTCAGACTTGAACTGAGAAATTAACTGCGTCAATCCAAGGTAAAAAGTATACTCCAAATTGAGAGCAGAGAATTTTGCTATTTGCATGCTGTTTTAATGACTGAAGAGTAACCAATGACTAAAAAATACCTGATGGTCATACACACATTAACTGTGTATTACACACAACATGCAGATAGTGTTCACTAAGTAGAGAGTAGTAAACAATAACATAATAAAGGTATGATGGGGATGGCAGAAATGTCATGCATATTAGATCAATCATTCAGTACTGTGAAAGGATATTGACATGCTTAGTGGTGTGTAACAGCTAGGAGGGGGTGTTGTAGTGTTGTATGTACCAGCCATGCAGGTCAAATAATGTGCCACCAAATCAAAAGGCTGCAATAGTACAGTGTGAAACCGGAGATGTGCACATGTGGGTATACTGTGCAATAGCTCATATGGAATATGTGATGGGTACACTAGGCTGACACACTATGCATAGGCATAGTGTGGAACAGGATATGGGTACATGTGAGTGTGCCAGGTTGATACAGTATGTCTAGTGTCGATGTGTACATGAGGGTATAATATAGGCATGTTATGCTGATGGTGGAATGGCTGATGGGTAAATGCGTGTAAAACTATGCTAATACAGTATACTCAGTGTATGGGAAGATGATGGGTACACTTGGATGACATGTCATGCTCTGAGTAAAACAAAAGATGGGTACATGCGAGTTCACTCAGCTGACATGTTATGCTTAGTGAAAAAAAGAAGATAGGAACATGTGGGATCATTAGGCTGACATGTTATGCTTAGTGAGAAACAGAAGATGGGTACATGATTGTACACTAGGCTGACATCTGCTTAGTGAGAAACATAAGATGGGTACATGCGAGTTCACTCGGCTGACATGTTATGCTTAGTGAAAAACAGAAGATGGGTACATGATTGTACACTAGGCTGACATCTGCTTAGTGAGAAACATAAGATGGGTACATGTGAGTTCACTCGGCTGACATGTTATGCTTAGTGAAAAACAGAAGATGGGTACATGTGGGTACACTAGGCTGAAATGTTATGCTTAGTGAGAAACATAAGATGGGTACAGGTGGGTACACTAGGCTGAAATGTTATGCTTAGTGAGAAACAGAAGATGGGTACATGTGGGTACACTAGGCTGACATGTTATGCTCAGTGAGAAACAGAAGATGGGAACATGTGGATACAAGGCTAATACTGTATGCTCAGTGTGGAACATAAGATGGGAACATGTGGGTACTAGGCTGAAATGTTATGCGTAGTGAGAAACAGAAGATGGGTAAATGTGGGTACACTAGGCTGACATGTTATGCTTAGTGAGAAACAGAAGATGGTACATGTGGGTACACTGGGTGACATGTTATGCTTAGTGAGAAACAGAGGATGGGAACATGTGGGTACAAGGCTAATACTGTATGCTCAGTGTGGAACATAAGATGGGAACATGTGGGTACTAGGCTGAAATGTTATGCTTACTGAGAAACAGAAGATGGGTAAATGTGGGTACACCAGGCTGACATGTTATGCTCAGTGTGGAACATAAGATGGGAACATGTGGGTACTAGGCTGAAATGTTATGCTTAGTGAGAAACAGAAGATGAGTAAATGTAGCAGAAACAATGTGCACACATACCAGTAACATAGAACATATGAGTACACACAACATGCAAAACATAATTGGGATCACAATATGTGAAAAGGTCATGGGTTCAAGTAAAGGTAGAAATGGTACATGGAGTGGATCAAAGCAGCATGGTATGGTTAAATGTACAAACTGAAATGCATCCTCACAAAGACATGTATCAATTTGTAAAAGCACAACAAACTGTTTAAAATTAAAACAATAATACACACAATAATATTCTAATAGGTGTTGTAATAACATTGAACAGATTGTTCAGCAAATACGCAGTCATAATAGCATATTTTATATCAAATATCGTGATCTTATCAGTATCATGAACCAACATGTATTCAGACAACAACTCTGACATTCCATATCATACTTGAGTCACCTGACCTTCTTAGTATGTGTACATGTATGTGAAAGTTGACAAACAGAACAGTGTATTCTGCCACAGAAAATATTATAGTATAATATGATTTTTCCATGACAACAAGGCTTGGGTTTAAACACAAAAAGCACATTTAGTTGGTCATTAAAATGGAAAAAAGGTAGTAGAAAATTATCATGTAATCTTGAAATTCTAATATTATATCTCTGAGTTTCTCAGTGAACGTACAAAGTAGACACTCTACATGATAAGATTCCATAATGATTGATCAGTCATATCCAGTAAACACAGCCAATAGGAGGGAGTTTTAGTAATCAGTGTGTAGTCTGTCTGGTTGTTATTTAGATGATAAGAAATGATAGGCAGTTGACCAGTCATATGTTAATCCAGCATGGATGATAACCAATAAGAAAGCTTTTTACATGTTAGCTTTTATATAATATGTGAAATGAACAAAACCTATGCTGATTGAACATTATAGAAATATATGTCCATCACATGTGTATTTTAACCAATAATAAAGTGTTTAACAGATCAGAAAGTGATATGCAAATATATGACAAGAAATCAATTCTGATTGGCAGTTAATAGTTACATGAGCGTTATTGGCCAATAGGCACAAGTTTTACATTAAAATGATTCATGGTGTTGTTGGGGGAAACCATGCTGACCTATTATAAATGGGAGTTCCATTGGGGCCAAGATAGTCTCCATTCTGCATTACATATTCATCAAGATATTCAGGACTGACTGTCCCATCAATCAATTCACCATCCTCATATGCACCTGGAATACAAAGACAAATCAGCCAATCAGAACAAATAAAACTATTGAATAAACCAATCAGCAGCAGTATTATAACTCTTTTACTATTACAACTAAACTCCCCACAGACAACAATGTAAAACTTGAAAAATACTTACACATGAATCAATGATATAAATGGCTAAAATTGAGAAGGAATTCTTTATTTATCTAATTATTAAAGTCAACTAAGTAAACAGCATCACCACAGATATTGAAAGTCTTTAAAAAAAGATGCTTCTACCACATTTGTATTGGCAATGATGAATAACATAACCCAGCTGAGAAGTGATTATAGTTGTTATAGCTGATTATTGTTTGATTTACTGGGAAATACTTTATTTTCGCTTGGAATTTATTTTCCATATTTTCACTGAATGGATGATTCAGTGAAAATAAAATCCAGTGAATATACCTTTTTTTCTATATTTCACACTCAACTCATCGAAATCAGTGAAAATACATTTCATACAAAACTTTCAAAAAGTTGTATAGGCAAAAATTAAGTAATATAAAATAAAATATTTTACAGTAGGCAAAGGCTTTGGTGACTTTTAATATATAATCACCCGTATAATATAGACTTCTAACTACATCTGACCAACTACCTATGCAAATAACATACCTAGTGTTTCACAAAGTTGGTTTCCCGCACAAATTTGTAAAGTACAAACCTCCAAATACAAAGCGCAAATTGCCAAGATGCCTACCTCAATGTACCCTTCAAAATAGTCAGCCATTACTGGTCTTTCTAACAATCAATCAAAGGCTTTTTAGAAGTTTTGGCCTCAACATAAAGTACCCTTGAAAGTTCAGAAATTGTAATATAAATGACCGTATAGTGTGCTATATACGCAATAAACATTCCCTAGTGTTAGAAAAAAACAATGGGGAACTTGAGACTAAACTACTAAAAATGACAAACGTGTTGTTTATATGTTTGTATCAATATTTACATTGGGCAAATTCCGTAACAACAGCATACTTTAAAATACTTAATTTTCGCTCGTAATTTATTTTCTTTAATTTTGCTGAAGGGATGATTCAGTGAAGTCCAGCGAATATAAATATTTTTTTCTTTTTTAAATTCAACTCATCAAAAATAAGTAAAATTAAACTCCATACAAAACAGCCAAAAGGTATTTTCAAAAATTAATTCTGACTAAAATAAAGTATTTAACAATTCCCATACAATCATAGCATTACAAATATCAAGTGAACATAGGATTATTCCAAACAAATCAGATTTACGATATTATGAGAAGTATTTACTCCCCCCTATTATACCACAAATTGAATCTTAACTGATAAGGACTTGCCAATTGCCCCCACACAAAATCAACATATTCAGTTTACCTGGATGTCCATAGAATAGATCCGGTCGATCCAAGATATCTGATTCCTGGATATAAGGCCCATATCCTTCGTCACCATACATCATTCCTTCATTGTCATCCATTTGACGTGATTCAACCATCTCTAACCACTGTGAATTGTGCCAACGAAATTTCTCTAATTGAATTTTTTTGGCCCACTCTTCATCAAATTCCTAAAAAAATAATAAGTCAATTAATATCTAGCAGACAATGCATGGCAAGCAAGCGCAGCCAAGTAATTTATTTGAAATGCGGAAGTCAAAGTATTAGTTCATGCTTGAGTTAAGTCATCATCAGTAACTTCTAAAAGTTTCTTGTCCTGGTAGATAGTTAGCAGTCCTGTTTTTTTTTTTTTTTTTGCTCATGTTGTCACACTCATTACAAAATAAAATACAGAACACATTTTCAATGTTAAACTGGACTATTTTATTGATTATTTTCGCTGTGAGAGAGAACCTTAGACAGCTTGGCATATATTTTACAGTAAACCTCTTGCTTACCTGCACAGTTATTCATAATTAGCCAGGCAATATTGATTTCCACGTTGCTATAATATTTTGTCTTAGACAGGCACACAATTTTATTTTACAAATCTGTTCACTTTTGATTGAAAATTTTCAGATTTTATAAAATAAATGCAGCTATAAATAATAAGTCTGTTGACTTTTCATTTTCTGACTAAATCCTATCGACTTTATTCTAGGGTAAATTTAAAATAAACAACTTACTGAGATAATATCCAGCGTATTGTCACAAACTTTTCTGATTTCTGCATTCTTGTCGTGCATGAGATCAATCAGGTACGCTGGTGCCTGGGTCTCCTTGACAATGACCTCCCGGGTCGCCTGATGAAATACCATTTGGTAGAACACATACACTATCTGACACACTATCTCATCATCCTCTTGTTTCGCTAGAGACGAAGAATAACAAGAGTGAATTCAACAATATCGCTGCTGAAATAAATTAGTAGGAAGCTTTTCTACTTTTCTCTGGTAGTTTTAAAACAAACCTGACAGAAAATAATACCATAGCTTGCACTTCACAGAAGCATCAAAAGTCATTGCCTTGAGATTTGCCCTGGTGTCTTTCAATATTACCAATGTTATTTCTATAATACCCTGAAATAGTTTTCGTTCATCATTAACAACAAATATATACTGTCTTGAGTGCCTACCATAAAATCTGTACTAGAAGCCGCATCCCTAATAGAAGTCGCACCCATACTTTTTGAATAATTGGTAACCAAAAATTCATCATCTCTCATATGTGTAGATAGTGCTAATAGAAGCCGCATCCCCTCTGTTATATTGTACCATTTTAATAGAAGCCGTGGTTTCTAATACACATTTTACAGTACATTGCGGTATCTTTATAATAAATTTATTATTATACATCTTCCTGATCCACACAGATTAGTGGGTGAAACTCAAAACTAGGCATGAGTGCAAAATTAGTAGAACTTTGCTCTATAAAACTAGCTTCATTTTGAAAAATGCCTTAAAACGCGTACTTGTTCCATATTTGGAATTTGTATTTCTGATATGTTAGGACGGAGGTACCGTACTGTGATACTTAATATACAGAGTCAAAGCAGAGCTATTTACAAGATTGTGTCTGTCTGACTACCCAACCCTAATACCAGACACTTGTTTGTTGATGAGTTTTTGATTTAACTGATAATGCATAGGACAGACTAGACTGCCTTGAAAGCATACTGTAAAACACTTAACTTTCCCAATTAGATATTTTCGTGATTTTTTGATTTTATGGCATTTTTGAAAACAAATTTTCATGAAAATCGCTGACACTCTGAGTTGTATGCCAAAAAACATAATTTTTAACCTCTACAAAATTTCACAATTTACACGGTATGAATTCATGAAAATTTGTTTCTCGCGAAATTAAAGCTGTACTGACACTGTGTAAGTACTGTAGAATATTTTCGCTTGGAATTAATTTTTGCTATTTTCCCTGAAAGAATGATTCAGTGAAAATGAAATCCAGTGAATATACCCTTCTTCCTATATATTACATTCAACTTGTCAAAAATCAGTGAAAACAAATTCCATACAAAATACCCAAAAAGTCTTTTCAGCAAAAATTTATTCCAGCTAAAATAAACTATTTTACTTTATACTCACCATTGAGGAGTTCAATAAGACTCTGTATTATACCGGACATGGCCAGCATAGCTGCGCAGGAATCATCACTGGTTACCGTGCCAACCAACATAACAACCTCTAACACCAAGTCATCTTCAGCAGCACCTGTAGAGGGCGGTATTACACAAAAGCCCACACAAATTAGCAGTCATTTCAACAATAAAGACAAAGTAACTAGCCCAGTATTTTTAATTATGTGAAAATAATCATATAGTTGAGTATATTGAATAAGCTCACCAGGCTGTAATCTCTCTTTAATCCAAGAAACTAATCCGTATTCTTTAAGGAGAAGTTCATAATCCAAATCCGGAATGTTTAAATTACTCAGAATTCCTAGAGTCTCAATTACAAATTCTTCATCATCGTAGCTCTTGATAACATTTGCCAGATCACTGATGTAGTCCTTAAAGACAAAAATATTCATCATTTAAGTTAGAGATTTGAAGAGATTATGAAATAAACAAATCTAAGAAAGCAATTATATATCAAAGCAATCAGTCTTGCACTTTTAAGGAAGAAGTCAAAAATGTAAAAAGTTGATGCAGATACAAACAACAAAGATTAACAAAAAATAATCACAAATATGACTAGCTAAGTTGACAGTGGAGCTAAAAACTGACAACAAATGTAGAAATGTATATAAAGGTACATGAAATGAACTATGGTAGTATAGCGCTGTGTAATTTCACATTAAGAAACTTTTGTTTTGTGAGGATGGGGTATGGAGGAGTCTGTACTGAAATACTGGAATGCCATTCCTCTCAAAATGTTGTTTTAAAAATAAACAAGCAGCCTGTCGGCTGAGATAGCTCCGCTGTTAGCAATGCACATGGCAATTAAAGAACAGAAGATATCATTAGAAAATGAACAAATCTGAGAGAGGTCCACATGTAGTACCTATATGTATAATATATCAAAGCAATTGGACTTGCGGTTTTCAACAAGAAGTCGAAAATATCACTTTTTACCAAAAATTACAAAAATATTCATCAAAATTAGAGAATTAAAGATATCATCATGAAATGAACAAATCTGAGAAAGGTCCACATGTAGTACCTATATATGTAATATCAAAGCAATTGGACTTGCGGTTTTCAACAAGAAGTCGAAAATATCACTTTTTACCAAAAATGACAAAAATATTCACCAAAATTAGAGAATTAAAGATATCATTACAAAATGAACAAATCTGAGAGAGGTCCACATGTAGTACCTATATATGTAATATCAAAGCAATTGGACTTGCGGTTTTCAACAAGAAGTTGAAAATATCACTTTTTACTAAAAATGACAAAAATATTCACCAAAATTAGAGAATTGAAGATATCATCATGAAATGAACAAATCTGAGAGAGGTCTACCCAAGGTACATATACACCAAGTATCAAAGCATTCAGGCTTGTAGTTTTCAAGAAGAAGTCGAAAAAGTAAAACATTGACACGGACGACGACGACGAACAATCACTCATATGATAAGCTCCGCTCGACAAAGTCGACAGCGGAGCTAAAAATACATTCATGAGTGTCTATGTGACCCCTGAAAATTGACACAGAACAAAAACCTGTGAAACCTGTAATGAAGACAGTAAGCATACAAACTTTCCCACACCCCATACCAGTCAAATTAGTAAACGGAAACTCACTACAAATAAATTCTTAGCTGGTCCATCATGCTGCGAGATGTTGCGTATCATTTTCATCAATAACGGATCTTTGAATTTAAATGCTCTCTTCATGAGTAACTTTAATCCCGACCCTTCACATATGATCTGTGCATTTCTCTTATTACATGATAGATTGACACCCAGTGCTATCAACTCAGGGTCAACTCTCTCATCCTGACACTCCAAGATCATCCTCATCACCTAGGTAGAGAATAAAAAGTCTCTCCAGTTAGTATCATTCAAAAAGTCACTTTCAATTGCTGTAAAATATTTTATTTTAATAGCTGGAATTAATATTAGCTGAAAAGATATTTTGGCTGTTTTGTTTTATTTTCACTGAATTTGATGAGTTAAATGTAAAATATTAGAAAAAAAAAAATTTTATTTTCACTAATTCAGATAAAAGCAAAATTAAAATCAAACTGAAAATAAGTAGTTTTACCGTATAAAGTCAATAGTGGAATAGAAACAATGTAAGAAAATTTCACTGGTGTTCAGAATGATTACAGTCATTGATAATGCCTTACCATATAAATGTGAATGTTTACTGTAACAAAAATCTATCAAAAATTAAAAGTAAAAGTACAAAGATTTTTTTTGAAGCCTGCTGGGCTACCAGCTTCAAAAGTGGTATTGTATTTAGAAGTGCATCCTCTAATAGAATCACACACCAAAAAATAGCATTGATTGTAGTTGAATCAGTATTAAATATGATTTATTTTGTCATTGACATACACCTACATGTATGTCATTTCATAAGTGTTAATGGTAGGTATATTAAAAATACAATTTATTCGATACCTAGGGCCATGTAAAGTGTGAAATCATTGGGTTTTTTTTGTAAATTTCCATGTACGGAATGAGCTACTAAATTGGAAATGGTAACCTATCAGTGTTTGCAGTATGTGTGGCTTGGGTCACAGTTAATGCCAAGTACTGGATGTATTACAAGATAGCAACAATAGCAATTTGTTCACATATTGCACATTGCATGGTCAATGCTATATGAATATTAGGTAACTACTGTAAAATACTTTATTTTAGCTGGAATTAATTTTCACTTAAAAAGCTTTTCGGGTGTTTTGTATGAAATTTAGTCTCACTGATTTTTAATGAGTTGAATGTAAAATATAGGGAAAAAAGTATATTCACTGGATTTTATTTTCACTGAAGCAAAAGCAAAAATAAAGTATTCTACAGTAACAGTAATATACTGTACACATGCTAGTTCTCATGACAGTGTCCCATAACTATGCATAATTAAATTATTTTCAAGACAGAAAGGAAATGACTACTGCAGACTTTTACCCCTTAAACAGCCCAAGATTATGACCATACTGGTAGATTTAAAACATTAACAGAAAAGATAAATAAAATATACAATATACATCAGATGTAGGTAAGATACACCGAGAATCAAAGATGGCAAGGACAATGTTACAGGTTAATTATTAATGACAGGAATGCAATATATCATAGCTACCCTGTACACCCCAGTTTTTGCAGAAAAAAGATAAATGTTTTACTTACAACTGGTATACAATCAGTGTATGTGAACATGGACTTGGCTTTATCATCCATACTTATATGGTACAGCAGACATAACACTATAACTCGATGATTCTCATTACCTGTCAATAAAAAAAAGATTCACTAACATAGAATAAGACAGCACAAAGTTCATCATGCATCTGAATGTACACCATTCAAAGTTGCATTGACACTTTATACTATATCTCAAGCTCACATTAACTCCTCTAAGCATTGTAAGGCCTTTGTACTGTTCAAGAGCAATTTTATTTATTGAACTGAATCCTGATATCAAATTTAGAAGTTCTTCCTAAAATAAGAGGCCATGTGGAAAATGCCTTAGAGTGATTACAACAACAAAAGTCATGTTCAAATTATGACTAGACACCATGAAATTGTGTTTGTTAAGTACAGGGTGATTAAGTGACTGAATTTATTATTTCTCATGGTCATCTGATCAGTGGTAGGTGTTTTATATGTAACACAAAGAGGAAACACAGTTTTAAGGTAAAAGTCACAGAAAACACTGATGCATCAACTGGAATAACAATTGTGAACTTTGGTAAGGTTAGATTAAAGTGGGAGATGAATTTGTCAGGTTACTGCTAATATAATGAGCACAGGTGAGAACAATATTCAGACATGATTCCCTCCTTGGTCGTTTGTGTACATAAATAAGTCAAGTAACCATATTTATTTATTTTATTTTTTTTTATATTTTGTGCATAGTGTATTAACTGCAGATGGATACAAAGAAATACAATTATTGTCTTGTCTTGTCATACCAGGATTGAGTATTGATCACAATACATGGACGTGTGTAAAAAATATCCATTGCTTGCCATACTGAACAAGCACCACGGTTATTGCACAACACCGTTTGATATTAGTGAAAACCAAACAATGTATTTGTGTTGTGTACTTCACATGGGATCCATATCGCACGGTACGAGGTTTTACCCAGAATTCAACACGTTCTGTACCAACGCATATTGCTATGCGCAGAACTGAAATTCTGGCATCGTTCTGCGCAAAAAACGTTTTTAGCGCTTGAGTTGTTTCCGGGTTAGCCTTCCATGTGCTTATCGTGCGATTTATTGTACCAATATCACATTTTCTGGACGTATTCCTACACAATCATGCTAAGAGTATCCAAAAGAGTCAAGCAGGCAAGTTTAGCCGCAAAATTACGTGGGAAATTCAACTGCTCACTCGATCGCCGATGTTGTCCGTCGGCACACAAGGTCGTTCTCTTTCTGATCTTTCTTCCGAGATTTTGACTCGAATATTCGGG